CTGTGCTGGTGATTTATCGCTGGCCTGAGCGATCGGAAACCCTTGCTACGTCGCACGACTTGACCGACCGCGAGAAGGCCGATGTGTTGAGATGCCACGTGAACCTTGGCCATCCTCATCAACGAGATTTCATCCGGCTTTTAAAGGCCGCTGGCTCTCGTCATGACGTGATCCAGTATGTGCTTCGGGAATTCGAGTGTCCTGGGTGCGTCAAAGAGCGCCGTTCACCGACCCGACTTCCGGCGGCAACTCCGAGAACGTTTGACTTTAACATCATCATCGGAGTGGATCTCTTGTTTGTCCATGGACTCGGAGCTCGGGAACATCCCGTTTTGAACGTGACATGTTTGGGGACCTTGTGTAGCACGTTCGGGTTGATCGACCCTCTTCAACGGTCAGCTCATGTGACATGGCAGGCCTTTACGAGGCTGTGGCTCCGGGTGTTTGGGGCACCTCAGTACCTGATGTTCGATGAGGGCAGAGAGTTTACGGCTGCCACTTTCCAAGAAGGCCTTGAACGTCATGGAATCATCCCCCTCGAGGTGTCGAGACAGGTCCCGTTTGCCAATGGTGTTGTGGAACGAAGAGGAGGAATGTTCAAGGAGGTGTATTATCGTACTAAGGAGTTGGTGCAACCAGTTTCGCTGGAAGAAGTTGAGGTGATGATCTTCGAGGTCAGCTGGAGCCTGCAGACGCTGACCAACCGCAGTGGATTTTCCCCTGCGCAACGAGTCTTGGGGAAGTAACCTACCCTCGCCTTGGATGCGCTCGCGGACCAAAGGGAATATCATCTGTCCACCGCCCAGGATGCAGCGTGGAACCGGGCGCACGAGATCCGCGCTGCCGCTCGCAAGGCCCTGGTCGAGCTCGATGCGAAGGCGAGGCTCTCTCGGGCACGACTTGGCCGTCCACGTCGGGAGATTGAGAAATTGAAGTTTGCTGAGGGCGAGCCGGTGATGGTGTGGCGCACCGGGAGACGAGGTTCCACGGCCAAGGTGGGACCCTGCTATGTGATTCTGCAGGATGGTCACACTGTCTGGGTGACCCGTCGAGGAGAGATCTGGAAGTGTCACGTGAGCCAGGTGTTCA